CTACTTGGAATTCTTTTAGATATGTACCCAGAACTCAGATTGCTGGATCATATGGTAATTCTATTTTTAATTTCTTGGGGAACTGCCATACTATTTTCCATGGTGACTGCACCGTTATACATTCCCACCAACAATGCACAAGAGTTACCGTTCTCTGGATCCTTGCCAACACTTGTTATTTTCTGTTCTTTTGATAGTGGCCATCCTCTTGGGTATGAAATGATATCATTATGGTTTTGATTTGCATTTCTCTTATGATTAGTGATGTTGAGCATCTTTTCATACACTTGTTGGACATTTGTGTATCTTCTTTGGATGTTTGTCTATTCAAATCCTTTGTCCATTTACTTATTATTTGTTTTTGCTTTTGTTTTCTTCTGTTGTTGAGTTGTAGATATTCCTTATATATTTTGGATATTGACCCCTTATCAGATATATGATTTGCAAAAATTTTTCTTCCATTGTGTAGATTGCCTTTTTACTCTGTTAATTGTTTCCTTTGATGTGCAGAAGATTTTTATAGGATTGCATTGAATCTGTAGATTGCTTTGGGTAGTATGGACATTTTAACAATATTAAGTCTTCCAGTTCACAAACACAGGATGTCTTTCCATTTATTTGTATCTTATTTTGATTTCTTTTAGTAATGTTTTGTAGTTTTCTGTGTACAAGTCTTTTGCCTCTTTGGTTAGGTTTATTCCAAAGTACTTTATTCTTTCTGATGCTATTCTAAATGGGACTTCTTTCATAATTTTGTTTTTCAGATTGATCATCACTGATGTATAGAAACACAACTGGTTTTATATCCTGCAGTTTTGCTGAAATCATTTATTAGTTTTACCAGGTTTTTTTTTTTTTTGAAGAATCTTTAGGATTTTCTACCTAAAAGATCATGTTATCTGCAAACATAATTTTTTTTTCCTGTCTGTTTGCTCTGGCTAGTACTTTCAGTACTATGTTGAATAGAAGTAGCAAGAGTGGGCATCCTTACCTTGATCTTGATCTTCATTCTTTTACTACTGAGTGTGATGGTAGCTGTGGGCTTTTTACATATGGCTTTTATTATGTTGAGGTAGTTTCCCTCTGTTCCTAGTTTGTTGAGTGTTTCTATCATGAAATGGTATTGAGTTTTGTCAAATGCCTTTTCTGCATTGGTTGAGATGATCACATGGTTTTTGTCCTTCATCCTGTTAATCAGTTACATTAACTGATTTTCATTTGTTGAACCATCCTTGCATTCCAGGAATAAATCCAACTTGGTCACTGTATATAATTCTTTTAATGTGCCATTGAATTCAGTTTGTTAGTATTTTGTTGATGATTTTTGCTCAATATTCATCAGTGATATTGGTCTGTAGTTTTCTTTTTTTGTTGTGTCCCAGTACTCACCTGAATAATATCCCAATTATATTATATGTTTTAGGTAAGATTTAAAAAGTGCTTTCTATCAAACGTCATTATAAAATCCCCTTTAAAAAAATACGGTGTTTAAAATGGCCTGGTTTGGCTCTTTGGAGAAAAATGCGATTAAAAGTTTTTTTTTTTTTAGTTTTTGAAATATACCTATGAACAGAGCAAGATAAACAGCTGAAGTCAAAATTATTGTGTGTGTGTGGTATTCATGTATGTTTTTGTTTTTTTATTGTAAAATATAATAAAATTTAACATTTTAAGCATTTTTAAGTATACAGTTCAGTGGCAATAAGTGCATTCACATTGTTCTGCAAACATGTATATCCTTTTGTATCAGTCTCCTGGGGCTGCTATAACAAAATACCACAGACTGGGTGGCTTAAACAACAGAAATTTATTTTCTCACAGTTCTGTAGGCTAGAAGTCCAAGATTAGGGTGTCAGGTTTGGTTTCTCCTGAGGCCCCTCTCCTTGCAGATGGCTGTCTTCTTTCTGTGTCCTCACATGGTCTTTCCTCTGTGCATGCATCCCTGGTGTCTCTCTTCTTATAAGGACACTAGTTCATATTGGATTAGGGCCCCACCCTTATGACCTCAGTTACCTCCTTAAAGACGCTATCTTCAAATACAGTCACATTGAGAGTTAAGGCTTCAACATATGAATTTTATGGGGACACTATTCAGTCCGTAACACCTTTTACGTAGTGCTTCTAATTTATTTCCTAGAGAACCTGCCATCCTTAGTATATTAGTTTCCTATGGCTTCTCTAACAAATTACCACAAACTAGATGGCTTAAAACAACAGAAACTTATTCTCTCACAGTTCTGGAAGCCAGAAGTCTGAAATCGGTATCACTGGACAGAAATTAAGGTGTCAGCAGAGTTGTTCTCTCTCTGGAGGCTCTAGGGGAGAATCCGTCCCTTGCTTCTTCCCAATTCTGGTGACTGCTGGCATCCCTGGCTGTGGCTGCAATCTTCACGACCAGCGTTTTCAAATCTCTCCCTGCTCTGTCTTCGCTTTCTCTGTGTGTAGTCAAATTTCTCCCCATTTCTTTCTCTATAAGATACATGTGATTGTATTTAGGGCCCATCCAGATAATCCAGGATGATCTCTCCATCTCAAGATCTTTATCTTAATCACATCTGCCAAGATCTTTTTTTTTGCTGTATAAGATAACATTCACACAGGTTCCAGGGATTAGGATGTGGCTATTTTTCTTGGGGCCATTTTTCAGCCCATCAGACTCAGCAATTTATAGTAGACTTTTACTGCTCTCACTTTTGGTTTCGTTTGTAATAAGTTCCAGTATCCCGTTCTGGGTAGGTAAAAGTTGCTGGCAGTGGGCGACAGAGAGAATATTCTCATGTCTTCTAGACATTATGTAGAAAACTTTAGGTCTGTGGTTCTCAGTGTGTGGTACTAGAAGTAGCAGCATCAGCATGACCTTAGGAACTTAGTAGAAATGCAAATTATTAGGCCCCAATCTTAGACCTACTGAATCAGGAACTCTGATGGTGGGACCCAGCAGTCTGTATAACAAGCCCACCAAGTGATTCTGATGCACGCTCAAGTTTGAGAACCACTTTTCTAGATTATGGACATCATTAGTATTAAAACCATGTTTACTTTCCTCTCCAACTCTATTCTGCTTAAGGCTAATACTTAAATTAGTCTAGGATTTATAGTCCACAAACTTTGTTTTCTGTAGGGATGTAAACATTTGGTCCCAAAATCTTGATACTGTACTGATAATCAGTGAAATTAATTAAATTACTCAATAAAAGGTTGCACTGGGTTGATTTTTGTCACTTGTATTTTTACTTAGATGTAGTTATTTCATAAAGTAACATTGCTAGAATCAGAAATTATATGAATTTTTTTCTCTAGTTCTTGAAAATGTGAATTAAACACATTAATCTGAATTTTACTTGTTTTTTTTCCTGTATCCCTATGTACATTTTGGGATACAACAGAAAATTTCTAAAAATCTTTCATTCAGCCTGCATTATTATGCTTTTACTATGTGCCATCCAGTGAAAGTGCTGAAATGAGATAAATGAATTCTTTCCTCAGTGTGTCCACTGTAGTTCAGAAAATACACAAGTAAAACAGCAGTGTTGATATAGAGCTGTTACTACTTGCTATGGCAATTGAGAAACTCAACTTTATGTAGCTGAAGAAATTAAAGAAGGATCTGCCAGGGTGACCAAGCTAAATATTGGAAAACTAGTAAAAAGGTGTTAGCAAAGTTAAAGAGAGATAGAAGGTAGATATAGTTTACCATGTGAAAAAGCATGAAGGCTGAGAGAGCATGGGGACTGTTCTGGGAGTTAAAGGGGTTTAGTATAGTAGAAACATGGAGTAAATGGGAGAGTCAAGATTGGAGATAGATAGATAAGGTTGAGATCATTGTTGAATACTACTGAAGGACTTAAAGCATAGATGTGACATCTTCAGGATGGCCATTGCAAAATGATTGCTTATATGTAGTGCTCAGAAGGATGAATTTGAGATGACAGTGAGTCTGGAAATAGAACAGTTACAGTAATCTAGGTGAGATTGGCAGTAGGTATGGTGGTGCCGTTTTTTGAGAATAAGAATTCACAAGAGTAACAAGCCAAGATTCAGGTAGGACATGATGTGTAGAATTCAGGGTAGGACATAGTGAGTTTTCAGAATTTGTAGAATGTGATAAAATTAGGGGTAGGTAGGTTTTTTTTTTTTTTTTCTTTTGAGGAAGATCAGCCCTGTGCTAACATCTGCCAATCCTCCTCTTTTTTTGCTGAGGAAGACTGGCCCTGGGCTAACATCCATGCCCATCTTCCTCTACTTTATATGGGACGCCACCACAGCATGGCTTGCCAAGCGGTGCGTCGGTGCGTGCCTGGGATCCGAACCGGCGAACCCTGGGCTGCCACGTCGGAGAGCGTGCACTTAACCACTTGCGCCACCGGGCCGGCCCCAGGGGTAGGTAGATTTTTGACAAGTAAATTTTCAGTGGAGGGTCAGGGTGGAGGTCACTTTATACTAGATTGAAGATTAAATTGAGGAAGCGGGAGAATATCAATGTATGCTATTCTCTCGAATAACGGTCCCTGGCATTTCTTAAATACTTAATCAATGTTAGCCATTATTATGGCTACTATTAGTATATACTTTTATGCCATCTCATACTCAATTGTTTTTCTTCAGCTTTTTGGTGTATTTTTTGGTATGTACATAATAGTATTATATAAACATCGTTCTAGATAGAAGTGTGTGTTTTAGTAACAAGTACTGATTTTAATTATTGCTGTTGCCATACTGTTAAAATTAATGAAAACAAAGTTGTAGATTTTTTTAAAGAGAACTAGAAAGTTTAAGCTTCTCATTTGAATAGATTATTGTTCCTCAAAAAAATGGTACTTAGAAAGTTTCCGTCAAGTTAAAATGATCATGTTTTAGTTAAACACTTGTTTGGATAGATGTTATATCAAGAAAATAATTTGATTTACAGTTTTTAGTTTAAAAGAATAGAGTATTGTAGATGTACTTATTCATATCTGGAGCAAAAAATTAAACGGTGGTCTTTACATGTATTCTTTCAGGTTTGATTTAATTGCGAATGAGATTGTTCTTGCAGCGAGATGTTAATAAGACAAAATCTAGGTAAGTAGAAGACTACTTTGTTAAATGTTACATATAAGTAGGAATAATAAAAAAAATTTGTTTTAAAAAATGTGTCTTCAAGTCCAGAGTCAATGAGTTTTTTTAATAAAATTTTGAAATATGAAGAATTGACTTTTTGATGCTCTTCGTCCAATTGATTTGGTGAGAGTAAAAATACAGCTATCAAATTGTATAACTAAATTCTTAGTCTTGCTTCTTTCATGTTGAGTTGAATGTAGTAGGCACCTTCCGGTGACTGTTAAACATGTTAGAAAATCAACTTGATATTTAGTTTAGCCACTCAGAAACCAGTTTAAGAAGAGATTTGCTAGATTGCTTCAATGTTCTCTTCTTAGTGGATTATAGTACTTGAGTAGTCTTTGCTTTTGTGAATTTTACTTCCTTATTTCCATTAACAAAGCACTTCTACAAGTTGGTTAAAAATGTACATTTGCCAAATTGTGACTTATTTATGTTAATATAATGTTCAGAATTGTAAATGATTGTTTTAATAGTTTTCCTTGTGGGTATCTCTAGTGAATGACTTTTCTGCTTTAGCATTCTGATTTTGCTTTAATTTTTTAAGACTATTGACTTGCAGAAAATTGAATTTTGATCATGTACTTTTGGTCTGGTATGTGAAAGAGTGCTTTTTAATAATATAAACTGTTGAAATGTTAAAAAGATACATTTACTATCTATTGGTAGGTGAACACGGCTTCAGGGTATAAACAAATGAAAGAATACTTGGATAAAATTGCAGTTAACTTGGTCTTTCTGTAATGTAACTGGATGTTTCAGCTGTCAGAAACTTGGTGATCTTAAAGTTAAAAAGAAAAAAGAAGCACGTAGGTTGAGAAGTGCTGTAGGTTGAGAAGTGCTATAGTTGTGTAATGTGCAATTAAATAATGTATTCTGAATAAGTGGTTTAGGCATAATTTGAAGTGAAGTTTCCCTTTTATTGCTATTATGTAATAATAATAGTAGTGGTAGTTTGAAGAGTACTTATTGTGCTCTGTATTAAATGCTTCTCATGCCTTATTAATCTTTATAGTACTTCCTGTAAGGTAGATATTGCTGTATAGAAAATTTTAATTTTTTTGGTAAAAAGTGAGCTATTTCTTTCTTTAGGAAGAATACTTTATTTTCACAGCATTTATGATAAGGAATACTTGCCTGTGTATCTTCCTGAAGGGGAAAAGAAGTTAACTTTTGTAGTTAAGGTCTTACAGGGATTTTGTTTGCTTGTTGAATATACAGTGTCTATTAGAACCTTTATTCTGAATTCTTATAAGTTAGATATTGCTCATGGGATGACACTGGTTTAACTTATTCTGATTGTATTCCACCACAATTATGTATACATTTTTTCCTTTTTTATTAAGATGTAATTTACATTTTTTATTGTTATAATTTATATATGGTAAAATGTGTAAAATTTAAAGTATAGAGCTGAATGAGTTTTTACATATATGTTCGCATGTGTAACCACCATCTAGATCAAGATGTAGAACATTTTCATTGTCTGAGAAAGTTTCTTGTGCTCTTCTCTTTCCAATCAAATAACCTTTCCTCCTGAGGTAAGCATCTCTCTGAATTCTATCAGCATAGCTTAGTTTTGCCTGTCCTTGAGCTTTATAGAATTATAAAATATGAACTCTTTTGTATCTGGCTTTTTTCCTCCAATGTATACTTTTGTGTGTCCTCTATGTTGTTGTGAGTCTCAATAGGTCATTATTTTTTATTGCTGAGTAATATTCTATTGTGTGAACATACTACAATTTTTTTATGCATTCTGTCTATGATTTTATTGGATTCTCCAAATCTCTGACCTCACTTGCCAACATTCTACACTGCTCTCCTTCCTCTAGTTGTCCCTTTCATTGTCCCCCATTACCTGCATAATAAAATGTAAGCTCTATAACATGGCATATAATAATCTCACTGCAGCTATTCCAGAATGCCTGGAATTATCTGAATAACCTAAGTATGATGTCTTATATTCCTAGTTTTAGTCCTCTGTATATGTTGTCACTCTTCCCCAACCCCTTGCCTCCCCAACTGCCAGTGTCCTTCCTCTTGGGTGTCAGCTTATCTCCTGAAATAGTCCATCTCAAGCATCATCTTGTCCTTTGAGCCACACCTGGCCATACTGCAGTAGTCTGTTTTCTTTACTAGACTGTGAGCTCTTTGAAGGTGGGCAACATCCATGTCTTACGTATCTTGGTAGCACAATGCCAGAGTACTGTATGTACTTAGTGAATGTTTGTTAAACCTCGAACAATGAAGAGACTGCTCTCTCAGACAAACAGAGATTGAGAATGCTGGCTGGAATGGGATGGGGCACTGGCACTTCAGTTGCTGTTGAGCTGTAGGAAGGAGCCAATGAGGGCAATACAGAGGCACCATTATAGGCATTTTGGAAAGAGAAATAAAATATCCCCCAAGTCTTCTTTCAATCCAATTGGAATAAAATGGCTAGTAATGTTCTTAGTTCAGACCTTAAGAAAGACTGAGTTTCATTGTTGATTTTGATTACTCTTTCCAAATGAAGACATTAATCTATGTTATGGAAATTGGAGTGTTTGTTACTAATAGTATTCTCTTTATGAGTTTGTACTGATTATTTCTTTAAAGATTTTAAAAGATGTGTTAGACTAATACAAGTAGAAGATTAGGAAGACTACTCACATTTGTAAGAAGTGAAGAAAACTTTTCCTCATTTTCCTGAGGGTAAACTATTGGAGTGGAGGAAGAGATTGAATTATTGTCTGGAATTGTGATAACATTTTAGATTCCTATAGCTTAGGAAGCTTGCTGTTTGCTGAAAAGTGCTTTTAAAAATTTTGTTTGTCATTATAGATCTGTAATTTATATAAACATTATACTTTGTTAAGAAATGAAACTTTTAAAAAATTTTAAAGCATTTGCACTAGTTTTCTTCATCTATATTTAAAATTTGGCTGGTTGGATTGGCTATCATAGTCACCTGGGGGATTTTTATGCCTGAAGCTTGATTGCCTTCCAGCAAGTCCAAAGCAAGGAGAAGTTCTTCCCCACTGGGATCAGTTTGTTGCTTTTCGTCTCTGCAGCTTGTGCCATAAAGGCTGAACACAGAGTTGAACACTGACCCCATCTCATGCTGTTCCTTCTGTCTCCCTACAAGGATTTTCTTAGATACGGATTCTTATCGAATGTATAACCTTAGTTATTTCTTTTGCTTCATCCTGGATGTGAAGTGTGTTTAGTTTTCTTGTTGATAAAATTTGAATATTCAGAGAAATTTAACCTTGAGATTGCTTATGTGTCTTTAAAAGATTTAAGACTAGTTTTTCTTCTGAGAGGCTGATAGGTGTAACTCAGTTTCAGACTCTTCCTCTTCATTTTGTGCTTCAATATTTTACATAGTCAGCTGCTGCTAAGCTTTTTTTATTTTTCAGAATCCCCAAATCCAAGGATTTTAAGTTCTTTATGAATCTTTGTCTTCTATTAGCCTAATTTCCTTAATTTCCAAATTAACCTCTCTATGCTTCAGTTTCTTTAGCAGCACTGTAGATGTGCTGTGCTTTGTTATAGTATGAAAAAGAAAACTTATTTGTTCTTCATTCTGGATGAGATTGCATAGTGCACATTTGATCTTTTTTAAATATATTGCTAAGTAACATTTAGTATTTTCAAAAAAAACTTTTTTATAAAAGTCACATATTGTTTATATGTATGAGAAAATAGTACAGAAATGTTTAAAATAAGTAAACCTCTCCTCTCTTGCCCAGCAGTATACTCCCCATAAGTTATCAAAAATAGCTGGTATGTATTCTGCATCGTGCTCTTTCGATTTACCAATATATCTTGGACATTTTTCGTATATGCATTACATTTACTATAACTGTTTCTTTATTGATATTGGCCAAATCTCAGGGTTTTTGCTTGTATAAGCAGTGCTGCAACGAATATTCTTGACTATGTCATTGGGATTGTGTGAGAGTGTCTAAAGGATAATTTGTAGCAACGGATTGCTGGGTCATTGTATATGTGCACTTCAATTTTCTGATATATATTGCAAAATTGCTGTGAGATTGTACTACTTAACATTCTTATTACCACTTTTTGAGAATATCTGTTTCTCCACACCCTGCTAAATGTTAACTTGTGTTTAATCCTTGCCAGTCTAATCACTGAAAAGTGGTATTTATTTGTGCATTTCTTTAATTGTGAGATTCCTCAAAGGTTTGAAATGTCACCTTCATCGTAACTTAATTCCATTGGAGAATATATAATTTGCAGAGATTTTTCTCCTTTACTGTTAAATCCATCAATTAACATCCCTTCCTGTTTTATGTACTCCATTCAGTTATTTAATATCGAATAACAAGATTTCCTTCTTTGTTCCCTTCATACTGTTTATTTAGGATAAATATTTGCTTATGATGAATTTATTTATAATTTGCCACCAACTCACGTTAGCATAGTCTGTAAGTAAAAAGACAATAAAAGCCATTACTAAGTATTCGATTAAGTCTAGATTAATAGCATGCTACTCACAGTCTGTTGTCCCTTGCAACTCAAGCATTAGAAAACTTTTCTTCTTTGTGGTTATGTTTTTACTGCCTTTAGCATGTATGATAAGCTATAATTATTAATCTCAGATCCAGCTTTTAAAGTCAATGAATTCGTTAATTCTAGAAACTACTAAATTTAAGACCAGAAAAAAGAGTGAGAAAATCTTTAATGTTATTATGATGGTTTTATCTGAGTTATTTTTGCGGATTAAAATACTGCATTCTTTTGAGCTTATTTTTGTATAGTATTTTCCAGTGTGATGCCTTTACTCTTGGATATGTTTGTACCTCTCTTGGTCTACATCTCTTAAAACTCATCCTTGGTTTCGCTGTGTTGTTTCATTTGTTTAAAGGTTAAGCACTGATCTATTTTGAAGCTGAGCTGTCAATCTATTTTTCCCAAGAAAATTTCATCCGGGCCTGTATTTATTATAAAAGTTT